CTAAAATAAATATTTCTTAATACTCCTTTGTTTGACGCCAATATTTTAATATTTCATACAATTTAATTTAATGCGACTTTTCAAAGTGATAGCAATCCTGTACAATTAATTTTTTAACCCCAACCTCTTTCGTCTGACATCCATATCAGGAGATACATTTCAATTTTCTGCCTTTATTTATGCCGAACTTGCTTTTTGAAACAAGTGGCAACCCTTCTACATATAATTTAGAAACAAAGCCCTTTTAAAACCATTTCGATCGATACTCACAGTGTAATAATTGATTTAACTTAAAAATAATCTTAATTTAATTTTTTTATCAGGTGGCAACTCTTTTTGACAAAATAAGAAGCTATTGCAGATCCACAGGCCAAGCCCTTTAATTTGATACCTCAGTTTGTAAAACGAGCGAACGGTACAGATCTGATATGACGAAAAGTGTTTCGCGAATTATGCATTCATAAGTATGTACATTAGAGTGGTTCATAAAAACACTCTTTTTGGAAATTCATAAATGCTACATCAGAATATTGTTATTTGTGTTAAAAAAAGAGACACGTATTTTTTTAGTTTGAAAAAAAGTATTTTTAAGAGGTTGCACTGGTCGCTGTTTTATAAAAACAATGATGTTCTCAATTTTTTTATTTTCGTGACATGTTAAAATGCAGCTAATAATGTGGGTATTTACATATAATTACTCTGGTATTATTGGGGAACATTCCCTTAATTATACACCTGTGTTGGGCAGTTAGAATGGGCTTAGTTCCCGAAAATATACTCTCGAAACGACACTAGTAAATTAAAACGTTGATACTGAACGATTGACTCGTTGTCATGGGTTTTGAAAATCTGACATCAGATTCGTAATCAGCAACCCCAGAAACCCGCTGGAAACAAGTTTCAACCCTTGCCAATGTTTAAAACGTTCAGTATCAACGTTTTAATTTTAGTAATTTTTTTTTAATTTGATCGCCATATTGGATCCGCCATTTTGAATTTAAAAAAACTGATTCATATTCGTAATCGGCGACCCCAAAAACCCTCGAGTGCTGGTTTCATATTCGTAATCGGTGATCCTCGAGTGCTGGTTTTCGAACAAATCAAATTATTAAAAAAAAAAAATGGATCGCCATTTTGGATCCGCCATTTTGAATTTTGAAAGACTGACTTCAGATTCCTAATTAGCAACCCCATAAACCCCCTGGTAAGAAGTTGCAACCCATGACCATGCGTAAATCGTTCGTTATCAACGTTTCGTTCGCATTCGCATCCGCGGAAGCCGCAACATCCCTACCAAAAGCTTAAGACGCCCTAGTTCCAAATATTTACAATAAGCATGTACTGCATTTTTTTTTGATTTGCTAAGCTGTTTTGCTGCTTTTGTTGTTTCTTATATAGATAAGTTCGATATGAGTAATTGTTTACGGTTACTATTCGGATTTATTTGCATTTTTATTACAAATTCCTTATGTAGTGCTGAGCAGAGAAATATCAGTGTGATTTATAAAAAAAAAAACAACTTTAGCCTTCTACGCAAATTCCAATAATAAAATTAACCCTAAAATCTTTTGGGCGGATCTAATGAGAGCTGATACTAATACAAATTGTTTGTTCAATGATAGTACATATGACTTTAAAGTTTTAAATTTATTCAATGGATGCGTTTTCCGTTATCATTCCTTTTGTACTGATCGCAAACCGGTTTCTAAGTTGTCAAAGAATAGCGGAAATCCGTCCCAGAATTTCGTCAGAATCGCCAAGAAAACGCAGTTCGGCCTTATCTCGAACTACATACTATAGCGGAGCAATACATACAGATATGTATATACTATATATAGCCACTATCAAAAAAAAGAACTCGATTTGGTTTGCCGTTTTCTTTCACCTCTTTTGTCAAACCGCTCATAAATGATTAGTATACATATGTATGTATGTATGTATATTATTACGTGCAATGTGTATAAATTTTCCCGATATGAATTGGGCTTAAAGATCAGAAATGTGTCCTGTTTTAGGGTTGCATCGGGCAGATATGAACCGGGAGGTTCATTCACAGTGCAAAGAGTTCATCCAAGTTGGTACCGAACCAACGTTTCGAGTAAAAAAAAAAATCGAAATAAAAGTATCACGTATTTACTTGCATCGAAACATCCCTATTTACGATATTATTATCTACGTCTACGATTCTTCTGCAGAAGAATGCTTCAAAAATTATTCTGGCAACAACTTTCTAGCCGGTTTAAATGTAACCGAGAGGAGTTCAAAGTAATCCTCGTAAAGCAAGACGAAGATAGAGTTACAAAATTGCGAGGAGATACGATGACGTCTGCAGACGAATCGTTCATGCGTCCTATCCTCCGAGATACGCAGAATTTACCAGAGGCTCTTTTAGTCTTACGCTTGCTCGCCCTTAGTGTATACCTTTTCAAGCACTGACAACTTTTTTACGCATTTTTATTGGAAACTTGAGTAAATCCCTCATAAATTAATCGACTTTCATTACCTGAGATTAAAATGCAACTCTAAGTTTATTCCATCCACTAGATATTAATTTCTTACAAATGAACCCCTCCACATTTCAAGATTTTGTAGTGAATGTGAAACAAAAAAGTCTTCATCAAACATGATAAGAAATATCTGAGTCATACATACATAATATATATAATTCTGTTTAATTTGCGAAATGCAATGACCAACTCTGCAGATGTATAGGGCGACTTACGCGAGTAAAGTTTAATCATAGCTGGCTTATCGACGAAGACTTCTGCCTTCACATATGTAATCCCTAAGACAAAATTTCAGAGGTGTGATATCACACGATAACTTGCTGAAACCAAATGTTGCCGACATCACAAGCTTCAAATTTCAGAAAACAAAAAGTTCGTTATAATGGTACGGTAGCAATTTATTTACGATTTGTTCTGTCTGCGGCCAACATTTCATTGAATTATTTCTATAAAGTAAGTGTCAGATAATGCTTTTTGGGTGATAATAAAGATTCAGATATTCAGATTTCTTTTAAGTAATTTATTTAAAATCAAAAAAATGTCTAGATTGATCAACCTATATAAGAATTTTATGGATACCACTCAATTGATTACTCAAAGACTTTAACCACGTTCTAGTTATGCAAATATTTTATTTCGTAAACAAATACAAGAGGATAAGAGCTTTTTTCTTGTCGTCTTGATGTTTAATTTTGAGAAATGGCTTACTTAATTAACATTCCCGACGCTTTTAGGTTAGTCAACGAAGCGTACTCTTTTATCTAGATATATGTACGTCGCATACTCTTACAATAAGCGATGACAGCAATTAATCATTTGATTAAATTAATCGATTATTTTTGTTCAATTTACGATTTAATTGTGTCGCAGGTTTGTGTTGCATTCATCGATTAATTGTAAAATAATCGTAAAAATATTTTCAAGAAATATGAATTATGTAGCTGTTTAAAATTGCAAATAGCGGCAACAATTGCTCAAGTTCAGAGCGTACACTAGTGAAAAAAGTTGTGCGTGTAAGCTCATTGTAAAAACTACAAAACTACATAAGTGTGGTAACGTTACGATTTCAGTTAAGTAAAAGTCAAGTCCTATAACTAAAGTAGAATATCATCGACGCTTGGGAAGAAATACGATTTATCGAAAAAGACTGTAAATTAGTTGGTACCTCTGTGTCTGCTGAGCGCCTTTTTTCAAAAGTTGGTTCTACAGCAACCGCTTAGCAACAAAACGCTTATCAAAACTTTCGTTTTTACAAAACTGGTTATATAGTAAATAATTATCGCCGCTAAAAATACACGTTTTATTTTATATCAGACTAATTAAAAAGATAATTGGAAAAATACACGTTTAATTTTATATCATACTAATTAAAAAGAGAATTACAATTTTCTATGGAAAAGTCTTTTTGTGAATACCCACTGTAAAAAAGTGTTTTTAAGACTTCGATTCATCGACTATTTCTCAATAATTGCAATTAATTCTTTTGGTTTGTGATGAATCATATTATTAGTTAATCGATTAATTAATTTTTTTTTGCCACCCCTACATACAATAAACGGATCTCTCAACAGATTCAAAATTGATTCATGTATGAGTCATAAGTCAGTTTATTATCTCTTTATCTTTATTAACAAAGAAAAGTGGAATGATAAATACCACTTATAAATACTTATGACGAATTGTCAATCAGATCCTTTAGTGCTGAAACAAATATCTTGGAGTTTTGATTTCAGTAAGAACGCATTGCTCAAATTTATGGGGCTTGCGTCAAGAATGATAGAATTCAAGATTGCGCATTCATCATATCGCAAGTAAAAGTAAACAAAGCCCAATAGGAGGACATGATACAATAATTTTTAGAAGGTAGTTTCACTTCAAAATTTTTGACATAAACCGTGTCTGTGACAGACACGCAATGTGGCCACTGCTACGATATATAACTTGGGGATTATCGCTTATTATTTTAGATATTTTTTAACAGAACATGTAAAGATTTATATGTTTCATAACTGATCACTTAATTTTTAAGATAAATACACGTATTTTGTTCATACATTTTTCCACTGCTAATCACATTAATAAAAATCATAAAAATGAAAATATAACAGCAATATTTCTTGTTTATATTGGATTAGATCCATCGCACACCACGGACTTTATCGGCCGCTAATTTAGATGTGCTCGCTAGTCTTTCCATTGCACCACAACTTATTGGTCAGAGCGATTAAGCTGGTGTAATGTGCGCACCTCCATACATCTTCATGTACATATTTCAAGCGAGCCCTATCATTTAACCCTCAAACGGGCAAACTCGTAAAAATGCTCAGATCAAGCTGATATTTTGTGTGCATGTAAATATAGGCAAAATATCCTTAAGATTGGGTTTTCAGATAAAAATTTTGTGTGGAATTATTGTTATGTGAGAAATAATCAACACCGTCTCAGGACGGTCTTGCCGGTTTGCGCGTGAATAAAATTGAAATTTTGTAGACATGTTTTTAAAACAATTTTATTAGGAAAAATAAGTTATTCAGGCAATTTTCTTAAAATTAATCAATTTCATTTGACTTCGAGGCATGACTAGGGTAAGGAATAACCTAACAGTTATTAATTTTTGTGATGGTAATCCCAAAAATAATTTTTATCAGCTGTACAACATAAATGAAGGTCACACTTGGAACAAGTGACTTGTGTGTCTGATTTCTTACAATATTTGCACCGTTTTTTCCCTTTTCTATCCATCCAAATCGGGAAATGATCTTGGCCATCGAATCGAACATCATCAACTTGATGAACAGCTCTTCTTCCAATTATTGAGGGGCTAGGCTGTTGAGATACCGAGCGATCGATACCTTGCACAGATGACTGCCTACCTACAGGCCGTTTTTCTTTGAAAGAAACAAGACCTGCAGCTATTTCCTCACGGAATTGCGGAAGGTTGTATTGTTGTTCTTCTTGGGATACATTGCTGGAATCGTTTGCTTTCTCAGCACGCACACGTTTGTACAAAATATAGGCATTCGTAGCCGCCATATCCACAAAATGATAGAAAAGTCGCATCATAATATTTCGACTTTTAGCCTGAATATGGTAGCGACCCATAAGACTGTCCATCAGGTCGACTCCACCCATGTGAGCATTGTATTCCCGTATGATTTGCGGACAGTTTATTTCGATGAAGTGTTTTTGTTTTCTATCATATCGGGACACCTTCGCTGTTTGCAAATCAGGATTGGCTCTCAAAAATGGTTCAATATCAACATATGTAGATGCCAGGCGCACACATTTGTTATCCTTCCATAAAACCGTATTCAGATCGATTCCTTGAACTGAGGTCATGTATTCGGTGGAAAATCCTCTACTCTCTTTGCGGACCTCGCCGTCGGTCGGTAGCTTGCAACCTGGTATGCGGTTAGCTGTAAATAAAAATATAATTATGTACTTTTACCAACAAAATCTCCTGAAAACCCAGTTACCTCTCACTGTGCCTAAACTATAAATTCCACGAGCTCGCAAATATACCAACAGAGGCAATGATGTATAAAAGTTGTCAAAGTAGAGTATGTGATGAACGAAATCGGGAATTGTTTGTGATAAACGAATAACAATATTTGATGTGGCTCCAAGATCAGGTGTGTTAGGTAGGATAACATTATCTCCGGCACCGTTGTAGATTTCGAAACGGTAGGCAAAGCCATTCGTATCGCAAAGCACAAACAACTTTACGCCCCATTTATGCGGCTTGTTTGGCATATATTGGCGAAGATGGTGCTTCGTCTTTGTGCTGCACATCATTTCATCGACGCAAAGCCTGGCTGACTTCGGGACTGAATCGAATCGGTCGTTGAGTTTGTTAGCCAATGCACGGATACGGAAGAGTGGATCATAGCCCGGTTGACCCTTTTTTATTCTCTGCGATTCTTCTTGAAAAGATAAATACTTTTTTATGGCAATAAATCGTTTGATTGGCATACAGTTTTGAATTGGTTTAAAAGAATTTTGTCCCCAATAGCTGTCTATATTTGGATAGTGATAAACGGACATGTATATCATTATTCCAATATAATGTCTGATTTCAGCACTTGTCGTTTTAAAGGTGGAGTTAATATTTTCCTCTAAAGCACGACGATTTGTCTCTTTAGCTATCATCTCCAAAATTTCCGATGTGAAAAAGAAATTGAAGAATGCCATTGGTGTTTGGAGCTCTTTTACAGTCGACGGTAGTGATGAATCGCCACGGAAAGCCACTTCGTTGACATGTAGACGCAAAGCGCGTTTACGCCAGATCGCTTTCGACAACTCTTTACTCGATATTGCAGTTAGAGCTTGAATGAATATTTATTTCAAAGGAAAGTAATAAGAGAAAAATGGGAACTATATTTATACCTTCTCCAGTGAAGCCGCCAGAAGTAGGTTGAACTGATGGTCCACTTTCTTCAACGGTTGGCAATGGTGATCGGGGCCTTTTGACTGATTTTAATGGTATATTTGTTATGGCCGCTGAAGATGTGGACGGTTTTTGCAAACCAACTGATTCATCGAGAATTAATGTTGAATTAGCTGCTGGCTGTTCAATTGAACTGGTATTCATTGATAAATTCATTCCTTCTGCGATAAATGCATCCGTATTTTCAGCCTCATCCATTTCATTCATGCATTCTTCAATCACTTGATCAGCTGAGTTATTATACTCAATGTTATCAACGACATAGTCTGGGTCAACAATACTGTTATCACTGCTAAAAGTTTCGTCTTCGACTTCCACAGAATCAATGAATTCCATTAATTCTTCATCCGTTAATTCTGCCAAATTTATTTTCTTTTTGTAATAACGCTCAGAACGATCCATATTTCACGCAAAAATATATATAATTGAAATATGAGGGACACGTTTATATGTCTGTGCAGAAAAGATGAAAACCGCAATGAAACAGAGGAGGACTATTTTTTTTACCCTCAAACGGCTAAGACCGTCTTGAGACGGTCTTGCCTATTTCGTTTCCAAATGTCACTTACAAATATTTTTTCACTTCAAACATATTATATAATTCAAATACAATATATCAGGTACTTACCGTAAAATTATGAAATCAATTGCTTTGTTCTAAATGTGTATTTTTTTAAATTAAACAAAACACAAATCGCAAAGTAATTTCAGGCGCTATTTGATTCGTTGCTCGCACTTCACTGAAAACAGCACTCAAATGCGTTGTCGGAGTGCACTCATTTGAGTATCAAAATGTCAAGCACAGTAATTTGCACACATTTACCGTTAATTTAAGCACGAAAAGTAATTTTGTTTGACACTGAAGGCAAAAAGGCGAAGACCGTCTTGAGACGGTCTTACCCGTTTGAGGGTTAAATAGGCGGCCGATAAAGTCTGTGGTGTGCGGTGGCTCTTATAGCTGAGTCCTTACATCTATTCCGTGTGTTGCAATATCCACGAAAGCAGCAGTTAATTTTTTATGAAGAAAATTATTTCAAAATTATTCGAAAATTTCTCTACTTATATGTTTGGCTTTTCTTTGTTTTATTTTCCAACGTCAAAAGCTGGATTTTTTTTTTGAAAAAGTTGGTGCAACAAAAAATACGAAACACGTTTTCTGTCAGATAGCTAACATGGCGGATAAGAAGAAGAAGTGAAACTACCTTCTAAAAATTATTGTATCATGTAGGAGGATAAAATAAATTGTCAGAACAGTCAATACAGCTTTCTTAATATTAAATTTTTCGACAGGAAATATGGATTAATTGCGTTAGATTGTAAAAATATATGATTTATAAAAAGAATTAATTAATAAAGAAAATATTAAAAACGTTGATTTTTGTGAAAGTATTAGCGAATTTCAGTACGTTTAAAGATTCTGAGTTAGGCACAAGAAAGTCGCATTCAAAAATCACTAAAACTATCCTTGATTTCAAGCTATTAGTTACATTCCATGCTAGCTAAACTTTCACTCTCCGAACTATCAGGCAAAATTAATTTTTTTTTTAAATCATCAATATTGTATGATGCGTATTTATTTAGAATATGCTTCCTTTTTGATACTATCAAAGGATCTGAAGAAAGTAGTAAATAAAGTAGTAAATCATTATTTGAATAATGCCGCGACACTTTCCTGGAATGAGACAAACGCGCTTTTGTCATATGCTCGTGATTTGCTTCTATAGTTTCTTCTGACAAAAGACACGTAGAGAAAATTTTTAATGAATATATATATATCATGTATGTATGTACATTAGAGTGGTACAAAAAAACACTCTTTTTGGAAATTTGTAAACACTACATCAGAATATTGTTATTTGTGATAAAAGTCACGAATTTTTTATTTTGAAAAAAAGTTTTTTTATAAAAACGCTGATATTTTCAATTTTGTATTTTCTTGACATGTAAAATTGCAGCTAAGAATGAGGTTTTTACATATAATTACTCTGGTACTATTGGGCAACTTTCTCTTAATTACACACCTGTCTTGGATAGTTCGAATTGGCCTAGTTGCCGAAAATATGCTCTCGAAAAGACACTAGTAAAATTAAAACGTTGATACTGAAAAATTTACGCATTGTCATGGGTTGGAACTTGTTACCAAGGGGTTCCTGGGGTTGGTTATTAGGAATCTGAAGTCAGTTTTTCGAAATTTAAAATGGCGGATCGAAGATGGCGATCCATTTTTTTTAATAATTGAACTTGTTCGAAACCCGGCACTCGAGAGTTTTTGGGGTCGCCGATTACGAATCTGAAGTCAACTTTTTTAAATTCAAAATGGCTGATCCAATATGGCGATCAAAAAAAAAAACAAAAAAAACTAAAATTAAAAGGTTAATACTAAACGTTTTAACCATTGTCAAGGGGAGAAATTCGTTCCCATTAGGTTTCTGGGGTTGCTGATCACTAATCTGATATCAGAATGGCGGTTAAGAGTTTCAAACAAATCCAATCATTTTTTTTATGTTGGTCGCCATTTTAGTTCCACCATTTGAATTTTGAAAATCTGACATCAGAATCAGGGAATGTATTCAAAACAAAACACTCATTGACAATGTAGTATGTGTTTACATATATATACATATAATGTAAGAAAACAACAAATACGATGTCGTACACCTTTCGTTTGACACAAATATTATTTTAATTTAATTTGATTTTACAAACAGGTGGCAATCCTCTTCAGATATTTGTATGCTGTAACCTTCTTAAACCTCTGACTCCCATATGGCGGTACCTAAGAATTTCAATTACCGAATTCCCTTAATTCAAATGGGATTAAATTTTTTAAACAGGTGGCAACCCTTCTTCGTGTAGTTAAGAAATAAACCCTTTTCATACGCATTTCATTTGATACCGATCTTTTAATAGTTCATTTAACTTATTAAATAATTTGAATTTTATTTTTTAACAGGTGGCAACTCTAAAAAAAACTCTATTTTCCGTTTATAGATCAAACTTTTTAATCTGACCCCTCGTTTTTGAAATTCTCACTATTCGTGCGTATCTGTTGGCACTGACAAGAAATAAAAAGATGATTTATTCATTAGCAAAAACGCATTATTTCAAAAAGTGGAAAAATTTTAGAGCATTTTATTTTCTATTTTGGAAGCTAAGAAAACCGTACTATTAAATAAAGTAATAAAAAAAGCTATTTATACATATGTATATTTTTTAATTATTACATAAAAAGTGACCATTTTTTAATGTTTATAAAAAAAGGACACCCTGTGTTTAATTTTATTTTTTTTTTGTATTTCTATTCTTATAGTTCTCTACAATATATATATATGGAAATTAAAAACGTCAAACCAACATTTTATTTCCAAGAATATATTTTTGACATTTATTTCCGTGAAGAGCTATGCTCTGATTAAAATGCTTGGTATAAAATTTGTTGACGTTTATAGGGAAATTTTGTAAAATTTTTTTTAGTGGATAAATTACCTTTACAAAAATGCCTAACACGTTCACATTGCAGATTACGAATTTTTCGATTTTTGCCCACTTAGGCGGCACTGTGCATCGTGGGCTTGCATAGATTTTCCCATGAAGCGATAGAAAATTGCAGTAAAAGTTTACGGTTCATTATTTATTTCATTTACACTTTATTTGCTATTTTGCAAAGACAAAATAAAAGAAAGCTCGCTACACCGCAAATTAACAAGAGTGACCCGCATTATACCTTTATTTCATTTTTTATGCAGTGCGAACTGGGGGCCAAACGCTGATAAGTTCGACGAACCGTAGTATGAGCGGTAAACGAAAAATGCACATAAGCTACACAAAAACATTTAAACATGTTGTTGTAGCATTGACTCGTAGAATATGTATATTAAAGAAGAAAGAAGACTGAGAAAGTACAGGTGTTTATAAAATAAACATCAAAGACTTGCTAATATTTATTTAATTTTAGTTCAAAAGAAGTGCTGTCTTCGGCTATGCCGAAAACTTCAACAGAAATACATTACTTGAACAAGTGCGCTACATGAACAAAATTTTACTCTAACCTTTTTTGAAGTGAAACTTCTTTAGCGGCGGTTGATTGGTTGTGAGTAAATTGGCAAATTCAATGGAAATTGCACACGGAAGTTGCATCCGGAAATCAAGTGCTTCTTAAAAGGTAAAAACAAATGTAAATATTACGAAAACGATGAGGATGAGGATGCCAATAGAAGTAAAGATGAAGATAGAGGACGAAAGAAATAAAAGTAATTATAAAGAAAAGGATATAGTATCGTCACTGGACACGCATAACGGCGCGCCCTGGTTTTGGCGGCGAAAAAGGACACGTTGACTAAAAAAGGCACACCAAAAAAACTTCAGCAAGCAACAGAAGCGATCAAGCGATAGCCGAAAAGCGTTGGAGAGATGGAGAGAAGGAATACTTTGCTGTTGTAACCGAAACTATCTAAACCGCTTCGGATTAGATGATTCTGCGCTATGTCCAGAGTGCCAATAAGTTGAAGACGCAGAAAAGTAGGTGAGCACGACATGGTGGGAGGGTTCGAAGTGACCGACTGGGGGGGGGTTTGTAGTACATAACTGTTTTGAGTAGAAGCTACTTAGAGGTTAGTGCTCAAACCCACTCCCGGCGGTAGTACTGGGGGGATCGGTACTTTGACGGTGGGAGGTTTAGTTCGGGTTAAAGCACACTTGCCCCAAGTGCTTGCATTTCAGGGCGCTGATTAAGGCATTTGGATTGATCCGTTGTGCTTAGGTGCACCGCGTTGTTAAGTCATTTTGGCAAGTAAATCATATGCGGTAAAATTGTTAAAAGCTACACAAATGAATTTTAACTAAAATTGCTTACCCACTTTGCTAATTAACTAACCGATTAGTAGGTGCGATTTCTCTTTATGAAAATGCACATTTCTACGCCTCAATAACACAGTAAGCGAAATGTAAAAGTCAAGTAACTGAAATACATAAAACGTGACCTTGTGGGCGTGCTCAACTAATATCACCAAATACAAAAAGAAATTGGAATGCCGATAACAGCACAAACGTACACGTAAACTTATACCAGCATAGATACATACATAAGAATGTATGTGCATGCAGTACATGTAGATATGGTATTTTATATATGAAATATATATATATATAAACTTGGTGTGACTTTGCTTCGACTACTTTGCGTTGCTTTTAACTGCCTACTTTTACATGATGCTGTGTGGCCAAAAAAGTCAGTTTGTTTTCAATTAACTACCGAATGGTTATTTATAAATATGCTGATTAATATAATGGTTATCAGGTTATCTGGTTATGTGGTTAACCAAGCAAGTGTGAACAACTTCATTGTCGATTTGTATACTTCTTTCAGGTTAACTATTACTTAATACCTAACTAGCGACAGGGTG